TATTCACAGAACGGCTGCGGGGTCGCGACGTCGGCGTCGTCTGACGGTCCCGCGACGGATATCTCGAGCTGGCTGCACCAATAAATCACCCGCGGCTGTATGGACGCTATCGCCGGCAGACGCGCCACGTGACAAGAGATGCCCCTTATTTCTCTTGCCGAACTCGGAATAATCGCTCCCTTTCGCTCTCCTTTTCCCTCCTCGTTGTCTCCGTCTTTTTACATTTACTTTTACTATTGCAAGCTCCTCGAGCGCGGTTTTTCTCAGGATGACGAGGTGCTTGGCGTTCGACGAGTTTCTCCAAATGGGCACTTCTGAGGCTGAGCACTCCTTCAAAAAGCCCCGAGTACTTATATGAAAAATGAAAATTTGGAGTGTAGGACATTAGAGCATCTAAGCCAACATCTTTGACGATTAGTTTTTAAGGACTAGTTACTCTTTAAATGAAACGTTAAAGTTTTAGTGAAGTCTTTCTTCTATAATACTTTAAAGACTTAGACGAAGATTAATGGCGTCCGTAAGTACAATAAAAAAATAAAAAAAAACAACTTATGAATAAATGATCTTGTATGTTTATGGCTAAAAACCAAATAAAACATGTTATATAAAATATTAATTTAGTATTTTACCGTTCTAACTTTTAATGTCTTTCAAAAATGATATTGGAAAATCTCATTGTTACAAATATTTTCCGCATCAAGGATATTATACATGTTCGAATAAGTATGTGTAATTAACATAAAGCATTTTATGGTTTGAAAGATTGAAAGAGTGAAACGTATTATAAAGACATGAGTGAATTCCTGCTAATATTGCCGTTATATTGGCTTAAATGCTAACTAAGACTAAATCGAATTAACATTTAATATATTCTTTGAATTAATAAAGGAACACAAGAGAGTTTATAAATTTTTTTATTTTATAATTACTTAAAAAAAGGAATTTTAACATCTGCTTGAGTATAATTATTTCATGTAGTAAATTGGGTAAAAATATTGTATGCAATTACTATATGTGGAAAATATAATAACATAACAATAACAACAACGTTTATTAATCATTTTAAAGTGACGAAAATCATTTAGTTATATTTTTGCTCTGATATCAATTTTAATTGAAATCATGAAAGGAAAATTTTTATTTCACTTTATGCTTTGAAGTATTGGACAATGCATTGGAATATCATGCTTTATTGAAAATATGACATTAATTTTCATAAATAACATATTTAGTGATAAAAATGAAATATTATTTGAATTTTATTTTATTTTCTGAAATCGGGAATAGGCTATTATTATTTGAAATACGTAGTGAAGTAATTTCTATTTAATATCATATTATATCTTTCATTATATATATATTTCTCGGGAAAAATATTACTTAATGGATTAAGCATTATCATAATTATAAATTTTTTACTTTTAACCTGTGCACATATGATTTTATTTAAAAAATAAATGATAGTATAAAATAGTTGATTTATTTCCGCATGATGAAAGATATTTCATCGAGTAATTTCATTATACCTGTTTCTATGTCTATCTTTCTGACTTTTTATGTCTTCTTATCTTTCTTTTCCTATTTCCATGTTGTTATTTATAACGCGTATATTCATATAACAAAATAATAAAAATATTACCGACTATAACTAAATTCCCTTCATCTGCTTATTGCTTTTGGTTCTTTCTTTTTTTACATTCTACTTTTTCTTATTTTATCCACTCTTTCGATATCATAATCTCTTATCCACGCGCGAGTTCAAGGAGCGCGCGTGCTTCGACTACCCTGTACTTTATGAGTACAAAAAAGAGAAGGAGGATAGAATAGGACAGAGAGGATGGAGAGAGCGACTAATCGACGCCAAATTGACCGGCGTGGCACAAACGAGATACGTGGCCGAGTTGTTTATTACAGAAGGAATTATTTTTCTGACAGTTTGGTTGTAATAATGATTGATTGCAAATATATTTCACAAAACATTAGAATCATTTTTATAAAAAAACTTATGAGAAATGTCTGGATGTTACATTACAATTGGCTATCATGATTGAACCGTTAAATATAAATATTTATCATTATATTAATCATATCTAAATAATATTATACTCAAGATATTCTAATGTACAAATAAAATTATTGTAATACCGTAGTAAATAAATATGAGAAAATGTATTTTTAAAAATGTCAGAAAGTTTTTTTTCAATTCGTTATAATGCTTTCCTTTGGTTTTTTTTGTTGTTGTTGTTGTTTCTTTTTTTGTATTTATGTGATTGTTTACACGAGAACTTCATTGTATTGGAATTGAATAATTACATATTTTATTATAAATCTGTTAGGCATTTTAAAAAATTGAAATCATCAAATTATTAAACAGTCTTGATAATAAATTTAAATTTTACTTGTAATAATAAACCATCGTTAAATTTAATATTTAGTTTCTACGTTTTTACATTAACAATAATACAATTCAAATATCAAAATGTATTTAATTTCAAGTATTTCTGGTATTGATTCTTAAAATCACATGTTTAAAATAAATATGCACTTTTAGTGACAATGCAGGTAGCAAAACAGATCCACGGGTCGTCTGCAGGAAATATACTCCTATAGCCATCATTTTTATCTCTATTGCTATGAAAAACTTGCATATATTTCAATATTTTTATGAATTTCACGGCATTCGTTCGTGAACATGTATACATGTGAGGACTTTTATGCGTGCACATGCAGCAATGGGCAGCTGCTGCACCTGCTAACTCAAGATTCTATCTCTCCTCTGCGAGAAATAGCTGCAGCGATAAATTGAGCGACATTAATATACATCGAATGCTTAATGGTTATTCCCTTTTATCGTTTTACTCAACTTTAAATAAACTAAATTATGATGAAAATTTGCATAGATATAGCGATCCTATTCTCGATTGAGTTGTAATTATTTATAACTACCCAGTAATTTCTCGAATGACTTTTGTTACATGTACATAGAATAAATACCTTAATGATATGAAATATATTTATAGATGTATTATTTTTGCGATACTTTATTTTCACTTCATTACATAGTGATAACAAAATCATCGATCAAATTTTATACTGACATAATGCGTATTATAAAGTGAACTATGTCTCAATTTACTTTCAAATAATTAGAAATGAATATTTAACAGTATATCATGGAATTAATATCAAATATTAATTTTGATTTTTATATATTACTAATGATCAATTTTTCCTGATATTCTTCATCTTCAAAAAAGGGAGATTAAAAAAACATAAATTGTAATAAAAATTCATAAATATAAACTTTAAGTGAAAATTATAATCTTTTTGACAATCGTATCTATTATATGAAATACTATATCTTATATTCATATTTATAATATTGTATTTTTTATAAATTTCTAAATTGTATTTCTCGAAATGAGAATACTTTTTCAAAATTACATATTAAACCGAGAAATATTAGCCCTTGTCCCTTTATAAATCGAGATAAATAATATATTATCATAATTGCAACTTCTTTATTTATTCAATTAATGCTTCGGCTATCGATAAAAAATAGATATATTAATTGTGTTACTGAATCTCTATGATCTATAATTGATATAACATGCAAATTAATTTATATAAATTCAATTGATGTGCATACAAATATTTTATGAATATACATTATGTAAATATCTAATCATTAATAATATTTTTATACCTGTTTATGAAATCATAAAAATTTAAATTTAAAGAAATTATAAAATTTAAAATGCGAAATATAAAATATAAAATATTAAAAATGAAATATCAAAGATCAAATATGAAACTATAAAATAATTAAAATTTTACAAAAGCATGAAATATCTAAATTCTAAAGAATTTCAATAAAATGTAATAGTATAATTATATTCAATTCAGTGTAAATATCATTATAGTATCAAAATAAAACAAAATGTATAAATTACTCATATAAAAATTATGTGTATATATGTATAAAATTGTTTTATTTAAATATCAGGTGGTAATTATCGTTAAGGATTAATATAGAGAAAATTATATGATATAAACAACAATTTTATATATGTATTAAATAATTTAACATTTACCAATCAAAAATTTAATTATTTATATGGATGCACGCACGCACGCGCATACACATATGACACATACGCATACATATGTATACACAGAATAATACATTTAATTATGTGCGCACGCGCACACACACGCACCCACACACACACGCACGCGCACACACGTGCACACACACACACACACACACACACACACACACACACATATATACATATACATTATGATAAACACTGTAAAATGGGCTTATATATTATTTTATATATTACCTGCTTTTGTACTTAAATATCGTGCTTATCAAAATCGATGACAGTAAAATTTTATACAATTAATAATCATACTTCCGCATCAATTAAATAATAAAGTTTTTATAATGAATGAAAATTACTTTATGGTAAACTATAAAATTTTATGGAGATTTAGTTTATTCAACGCTAACGACGTTCTACCATCTATAATCGAATTTACAAAATAGAAAAAGTTCAAGGTATTCATTTTATTTATGTTATAATATCATTTTTTTCACTTGTGATCCTTATTTATATAAGTTCGTATCTATTATTCAACATTATATATACCCACATAGATAATACGTAATTAATTTCGCATTTATTATAAATAATCTTTTAAATAGATATTACTTAAGTATTTTTACTTCTATTGAGTATTATTATGTAATTTGTCGGCCAAATCAGACCGATTCAAAGAGCATAGTTATTCGTTAAAGAATAATAATTAATCTTTCAATCTTAATTAAAAATATAATAATGTATAATAAATAAAATAACGCTATCACATAGAACATAGAAGTTGACCTTACGAATATTTCTTCCTTCTCATCAATGCATAAGTGGCATAAGTCTTGCATTATCCATTTGCCATTTATTAAACATTAATTATTGGTTAAATAAAAAACTCACCCAGTGCATGCCGGTGGTAGGAGGGGCACGTTCCTCATAAACTCCCATCAGGGTGGCTGCTTGCGCGTGCTGATTACCGCCGAGGTTATTACTGGACGACGTGGACGTGGACGACGATGCGCCCGGTGTAGCGCCGCCGGCGACGGCACCACCAGCGGCACCTGCAAGGGTGGCGGTTGAATTTTTGACGGACGCCAGGAAAGAAGCCGGGAGACGTCGCGTCGTCCTTTACGGCCTCTTGCACTTTTCTTTGGTCCCTCACAATCTTCCCTTTAGATCACAGGCACTGTCACTTCTCATGTCTCTCTTTCTTTCTGTTCGCCTATCGAACTTATGGTAATATTGCGAATTTGTATTGCGAAATAAGCATTTGATAGGCGTTTACGTTGCTGCACTACTTTTGCCTTATTATAATTTCGTCGAAATATATTCTGTTACGACGGCTACATTTTCCAAACAACTTTTCTTGCTAATGACACATTCGTATGCGCTCATTGCACTTGTACAATGATCCTACCTTCCTCGTCTAAACTACGCACATTGATATAAACATTGATATGATAAAAAAGTTAAGAAGTTAGAGAAAACTTCGATTCGTGAGTCGCATCACTGCGTACCGGTTTGATGAACATAACTAGGAGGACATCTCGATGGCATCGTTAATCTTCATCCCGATTTCACTTCAGAACAACGAGCAACGTATCGAGACACCAAAATCAGCCTTTTTGTATTTTCATACTCGTCAGTTTATTATCGTATTGAGATCTCCGCTGTTATTTATTACTATCATCTCTTCAATCCTTGACTATTTATCACCGGCGTAGTGATACAGCAATGACTGCCGATGACACAAACATAAATAACAAATAACAACACCTTCTCAACCTCAACTTTTTGACATAAGCACGCAGCACAATCACACAGATGTAGATGCAGCCAAATTAATAACCAGGGGATACGAAACTATATGCACATGTGCGTTTGCATATATGTACACAATGAAATGTACACACTGATAAGCCTCGATGGATCCCCCCTTTCAATTAGAGAAACGAGGGTTGCCGAAGTCTGTGTCAGTTGTTAGCGTCGTGCTGGACCGGTACGTAGCACGAGCCCGGATGGAACCGCGAGGCGTTGTGAGGCCCGGACAACCGGGACGGACGAGTCTTTGCTGACGCCAGCGCCACCACGCGGCCCCTCAACCGCATCACAAACCGGGTCCGCTGCTGATGCGTGAGAAAGAGAGACAGCGAGAGACAGCGAGAGAGTGAGAGAGAGAGAGAGAGAGAGTGAGTGAGAGAGAGGTAGCGAGAAAGGATAAGCGCTACATGCAGCGGCCAAGAGAGTGGGGGCGGAACGCCACTGCGATCGTAGGCCAGCCCCTTACCTTCCCCCACCTCTCGGCGAGAATTCGATGTACGCCCCGCCCTCATCGCGGATGAAATGCCCAGCCCTCTCGCAGGGGCGCTTTTAACTTTCAACTGCTGCCTGTGGCTGGCAGTTTTTGCACGTGCTTGTGTTGGCATTTGCAGACATGGGTGTTGTAAGTGTGCGAGAGCCAGCGAGGGAGTAAGGGTACGGAAAAGCTCTGGGGTGGGGTGAATGAAAGAGTACGAGTGATTTGACGTGGGCGGAAGGGCGAGGAAGCGATGGGAAGAAATCAAACTTTAGGAAAAACGAACGAACCGCAGATACGAAAGAGCGTATTTATTGAATAATGAGGTGAAAACAAAAAGTTAAAATTCGTGGGGAAAAAGAACAAATTTAGATGACTAAACGTTTTTATTGTACAGTACAGTAAAATAAAATTATATTATGATATGCGTATGCATTTACTGTTTTCCTAAAAATATCGAGACTGGAAATATCGTCTATGATAGTGAGTTGACGAAGGTTTGATGAACAACTCTCGTCCACTACAATTCACCTTTTGTTCAAGGGATAAAAAAATTTCTTCCGAAAAAATGATTCATTCGATTAGTTTTATTCATGGACAATATTGTCATACTAATTGTTAATTTTAATAATAGAACATTCAAAAAAAATAAATAGTCGTTTTAGAAGACGTTATTAAAAATAATATTAATATTATGATTATATAAATGACATTTAGATTATTAATCATAAATACATCAAAATATAGATAAGTAAATCAGTTATTATTAAATAAAGAAAATTGATTGAATAATCAGTGACGAAAATTTTAATTACTCAGATTATAAATTCCTATAGAAAATAAATTTATTTGACTATACACAATGATAAATTTTGCGTAATTTATAAACAATGCACACACGATACAATATTTTTAATTTAATATTTAATTATTTCTAGATTGCAGATCCCAATATTTTATGAATTTACGAGTAACTATATAGAAAATTTTAACATTTTCTATTAAAATCTATTCATTTATTATAAGTGTAATAATAAAAAAGAAGATAAGATTATTTTCGTTTTAAAATTTGAAAATTAAAAATTGAAAAGTTTAAACATTTTATATAAAATTATATATATATTTATAATATATATTATATATATATATATATATATATATATATATATATTAAAATTTACGAATTAAAAATAAGAAATTGCGAATTTCTAAAAATTACTTTCAATATTATGGATTTCTAGTCAATAATTTATTTCCTATGGATATTCGTAAGAACTTTTGATATTAGGTAGAATTTTTTTATTTTAATCTATAAAATATGTTTGGCGTCTTTAATAATTATAAATTATATTAAATTATGTATATTTTACTTTTTGCTTTATTTATCATAATGATTATTCACGAGTATAATGGCATAGCTAATACTATATAAATGTACAGAATGTTTATTAAAATTATATTTAGCTTTTTCTCAAAAATATATTATAAATTCTTATAAATAATTATAAATCTTAAAAAATCGGGAGAAAAATTTATAGAAATTACTGCGATATAAATTTTTTATTTAAATTAATTATTTTATTTATCAATCGCACACTTATAATATAAAGATCATTATGAAAATTGTGATGGGAACGAATATTACAAGCACTCTGAGAAAATTTAGATAATAACAATGAATAATTACATTAAATTGGCATTCGTGAGGTCGATTGAAATATCTTAAAAGAAGGCCTTATCGAAGTTTCAGGTTTCTCTTCAGTAAGCGCAAGAAAACCTTAAAGTGCCATCCGGTGGCTACGTCGCAAAAAGCGGCTGCGCGCTCATGAATCGCCAAATCCATATACTTTCCGCGAAGCCACTGACTCGGCGACAGACCGATTGACAAAAAACGGGGATAAAAATAAATAAACTTATAGATACATTGCACAAGTGGAGTGTTACATTTTCATTTTCGTACTCTTACTTAATACCTAATGTTCTTTCATAATATTATCCTATTATACGTATCGACTTAAATATTGTTGCGGGCAACGTTAGCACACGCGCACGCACACCCACACACCAACCATTGCTCGCATAAACGCGCGTGTATCCAAATTGACACCAGCTTATTAGGATTCTAATTTTGCCTTTCCGTAAGATCAATGATTATACGATTAATAGAGTAAATAAAAATTGATTACCGAGATATAATAATAAGACGAAAAGATCGTTATCGTGAAAATGATTTGGGCAAGGGGACGACAATTACATTTATTATACATTTATTATTTACACTGAAACGCAATATTTTATTCTAATGGTCGGTCGATCGACAGATAATGGTTTTACATAATTTATCGATACGACGAGGTAGTAAAATAAACATTTCGATCGTTGAATTTCCTCCTGAAGCCGATGATCGAATGAGCGAGAGGAGTTAGATCAGCCAGTCAAAGACGGAGAAAGAGGAGGCCGAAAAAAGGCTTTAAACCGCAGAAAGCGTGGCCGGATGTCGCCTGTCCGCATGAGTGCCTGCCGATATTCCAAGGAGATCGTCCGCGTCCTCGAGAAGAGTGCTAAGAGCCTCTCGCTCTTTGCGGTTTGGCTCGACGCCTTTTATATTCATCTCGTTTGCGGGATCGCCGCAGCTCGACTCGCGCGCGCGCGCGCTAATACCGCAATTCATCTCGAGAGCGGTACACAGTCGTTGCTGTCTGCTCGCGGTTGAATGAATAATGCCTTCAATGATGCTTTGTTTGGTTCGCGCTCTCCACATAAGAAAATTGCCGCTTGCTATGGACAGGTAGCTATTTTTCAATTCTGTTAGTTTGTGTGTGTGAGAGCGAGCGCGCGCAGTCCTATGCACCCGAGCGTATAGGTGCGAATATGTGTTTGTGAAAGCTCTATTTTCTAAGGATGTTTCTTTCGTTCTTTCTTTTTTTTTTTTTTTTTTTTTTTTTTTTTTTTTTTTTTTTTTCATCCAGGATTAGACCCTTACGCATGGATTATTGAGCGAGGTCATGATTCGTGGATATTGATATTTATTTTGGTATTTATACAAATATCTTATAATTTATAATAGTAATGGCGTATTTTGAAGTTGGCAAGCACGCTTACAAATGTGCTTAAATAGATGACCTTCGCTGTATTTTTAAAATAATAGCCAATATTAGTATTATAATGAAAGAGAAGAAAATTTTACGTCATAACTAGGAATTATGAATATAAATGTAAGGTTAATAGTGAAAGAAATTATTAGTTTCATATTATATTGTCATTTTGGCTCTCTATTGGTTTCCAAATTCTTATGAAAAACGAAGTAAAAATTTGTCTTTAATATTACGACATTGTCACTCCTCAGTATGTATATCAATTTAAAAAGCCGATAATCTTTATAAGAAGCAGCAATACAGACTAGCTCTCTAACCTTATCTAATATCCATAATTTCTAAATAAATTTTCTTTAAGATTTCTATTATGTAGAATTTATCGCATACCGTAAGCAAATAATTTCGAATATCTCATCGTGTTAGTTGTTAAAAGTACTTGAGAAAAACAGCTGAAAAATAAGAAAAAATGTGCTTATAACCATGGTCACTTCTGGTGGCTTTCCAAGTGTCTCTCGCTTCGAGTAAGAAAGCAAAAGATATATTGTCCAGCTCCGGCTGCGTCCAGTATTACGAACTCAAGCTGCCGGTCACGACAATGAGGGACAAACGGAGCTGCACGTTCCTACGCGACCTGCCATAATCACAATGAGCGCGTGGGTCTCGAGGTCTAAACGCCTTCCTAATTCTTCCTCAATTGGGCCATGGGGCCCGACCGGCCGGCTTACTTGTCCTCGATGAGAAATCTATTATTATAAACGTTTCTCTCCTGCATCACTAAAGTCTGAAAGAATGGCTTCGTGCACATTAGCTGATCGGAAAATCTGTTCTACGATGGGCACTTTTTAAATAAAATAATAACATAATAAGATAGAATCTATAAAATTATTAACTCTTTATTTTTTAGTTTTAACGTACAGATCGAGCGGCATGTTGAAATCATAATAGAAAACAGTTTCTATTAAGACTTTGTATTTACGACGTAAAATTGCCAAAGCACTGCTTAACAAAATTTTGAAACTTTGAAACCGATTATTACATTACAGTTGTGTATTGAAGTACAATAAACCATCCAATATTATTTGCATAAACATGTGCAAAACACATTTATTTATACATATTTTATTAGCGATTGTTAGGCTCCGTTCATACAGCAATTATATTTTAAATAATAAAATTTTTACCCACTATGTTTTCAACAAATTTTATATACAAATACATGTTTCATTAGAAATATCATTAAAATTCTTAAATTTTAATTTATGTAATTGGAATATGCTATTTCATAATATAAGAAAATTTAAAGATTATGTTTAAAAATTTTTTTTTCAAATCATTTAAACTAATGAATTAAACAAATAAGCTAACGATAAAGAGCGATTAATTGCGTATATATATATATATGATAAAGAATTTATCATTGAAAATCATATTTTTTATTTTTTATAATTAAAAACTATTTTATATCTTAATAAAGATATTTCGTTAATTATTGTAGTTATAAGAAAAACATTAATTCTGTTTCTTCTCAATAAATACTTAAATTTCAATAAATACTTAACTATGAACGAAAGAAAAGATTTGATCGACATATTTAATTATTATACCAATTTGATATATCAGCTTTTATAAC